GGAGACAATCAGCCAGGTGCAGGTGGGCGTGGCAGAACAGAGGAGCAGGACAACAGAGTGATCAAAAACATGCCTTGGAGGTAAAATCTAAGCCGGCGACATGAGAAACTCATGGATAAAATAAAACATTTTAACAACACATGAAAACAAAGAACCAACATGGCAGCAAAATGTACAAGTCAGGGAAACTCAGGTAGGCACAGGCAGACATTGAGTAGCAGGATTGATGGTGAAAACCATATCTGCTGAGGTGGTGGTAGGAGAACGGTTATACTGTATAGAGCAGTGGTTCCCAACCTTTTTAGACTTGTGTACCCCCTGAGCCATTTTGTCATACCAGTACCCCCTCTGTCAAAACTATAATGTAGAACCGCTGATTATTAAATGAAAATTATTTATTTAAACCCCTAGAATGTTTAAATATCAAGAATTTTATTCTTTTCAATTCAATTTAAACAAAGTTAAATATGTTGCCTTGAAAGTGAATAAGTAATTAAATAAATAAACCAGGTAATGGCAGGTACAGGAAGCAGCAGCATCCAAAATACATTGTTTTGTCCAAAATACATCAAAAACCCCAAATGAGCAAATTCCTTCAGATTCCACATTTTAAACAGGATTCCATTTTTTGTCAGTTTTGTGATTCTGTTTGCATTTTCCACATTGTGGAAATCATACATATCATCATATCATACATAACCAAACATATCTCAGTCCAATTTTTATTTATTTTTTTACACACCTGTGAAATTTTTCCACGTACCCCCGTAATATGCTTGTACACGTACTTGGTTGGGAATCACTGATGTAGAGCAGAGGTAATGAAGTAGCCTACTGAAAACAGCTGACATAACTGGAGACTGAACAGGGAAGTTATAAGAAATAAAAAACAAACACAAGCTTACCAAACAAAATGTTAGACAGAGAAGATACAAAGAACTACAAAACATTGACCAAAATACAAAGATCATGACTACATTACAGAATCCAAATAAACCAAAGTACATCCTAACACATCTGGGCACAATGAAACTGTATTTATAAACACAAATGTACAACAATAATTGGGTATTTGTTTGCTACGACAGATTATTAGGGCCACACAATGAGATTTTTTTTAAATTACGAGAACAAAGTCATAATATTGCAACATTAATGTCATACAAAAACAAAGTAATATTATTATGAGATTAAAGTCGTAATATTACAAGATTAAAGTCATAATAGTACAAGAAAAAAGTCGTAATATTCTAGCCTTTACATGAAAAAGAATGCAGTTATCACTGCATTAAAATGAGGAATGTTGAGTAACTTGTCAATTTGTTCTTTAGTATTACTTAAAATAAATAGTTAATCTTTTAGCACATTCACACCAAATTATCAGTAGCAGGACTTGGAAATTGTGCAAACGACTATAAATTGAAGTCGTATTGTAATTAATGGATGCATTGACGGATTTAGTCGTCACATAGGTAATTTGGATGAAAGCATATAACATTAACAGTGACCCGAGTCATCATGGACTACTTTATAAACAGACACATGGCTGTACACAGCAGGTATGGGGAAAATAAGGAGGAAATGAGGAACGGGAAATGGACACGTCATGTAAGATTATGACTTTTTTCTCGTAATATTACAACTTCAGGCGGCACAGTGGCTCAGTTGGTAGAGCTGATGCCTCTCAGCAAGAAGGTCACCGGTTCAAATCCCGGTCTGGGGACCTTTCTGGGTAGAGTTTGCATGTTCTCTCCGTGTATGTGTGGGTTCTCTCCGGGTACTCCGGCTTCCTCCCACAGACCAAAACCATGACTGTTAGGTTAATTGATAACTCTAAATTGTCCCTAGGTGTGAGTGAGAGAGTGAATGGTTGTTTGTCTCGTTTGTCTCTATGTGTGGCCCTGTGATGGACTTGTGACCTGTCCAGGGTGTACCCCGCCCCTCGCACTGTGACTGCTGGATATGGGCACCAGTGACCCACGCAACCCTGAAAAGGAAGAAGCGTGTACAGAAAATGGATGGATGGATGGATTATGACTTCAATCTTGTAATAATTTAGCTTTATTCTCGTAAAATTGTTACTTTAATCTTGTATAATTATGACTTTAATCTCGTAATATTACGATTTTATTCTCATAATCTTACGACTTTAATCTCATAATAATAAAAAAATCCTGTTGTGTGGCCCTAATCGTCATAGTTTGCAGATTAGACCAATTCAAAGAAACTCACTATATTTTTAGGACATTTTTGATTTTTAGCAGGATGCCATTCAAATTTAAGAAATAAGCCTGATTAAACGTTTCAAGTAAAATAAAATGAAATAAAATAAAACAATAGGGTTTGCCAAGCTGATTACAGCCCCCCACCTTTTTTTACACATGTTTTGTAATTTAAGTTGTACAATATTAGTGAGGTGAAAACAAAACAAAAAATAAATAAATGCATAACTGCAACCACAAAATCTTTTGATGCAGTCAGGGTGGCCATTTTTGAATTTTAAATTTAAGATTAGCCTGGGGGGGTCCAGCTGCACGTGACCCAGAAAAATACTTAGCACGGCGCTGGTTACACACGGCGCGAGCTCACCAACGCGTCGATCCGTTCTCGTTTTCTCTCCCGGCTAAATTTTTTAATTTACCCGGTACTACGTGGAGTTTGTGAGGTGTTTTAGTAAAGGCGGACTGCCGGTGTAACACTGGGTTGGAAACAAAGTATTTCGGAGCTTTGCTGCAGCTGAAAGCCTCTCATGTGCTGAGTGAGGACACGGCTCAGACACCGGTCCGGTCAGTGTGAGTAAACTGTCTTTATCGTCAAGTCATGTCGGTAATACGCTGTTGTAAGTCAACAAAACAATGAATTAAAATCATGAGCCTGACTCCAGTGACTGAAGCACGAGCTGAAGCTTTATTTTGTTTATATGTTAGCGGGAATGGTGTGGTTAATTCAGTCTGTCTCCTGTTATCATTCAGGCTTTTGTCTGTCTGGTGAAGTTTTTTTTTAGTGGCTACAAGGTGTCACTAATTAAGACAGTCATGGTGACTAATTACTGGAGAGTTAACGATTTTCAACCTAATGCACTTTCCTAATGTATACAATTTAATTTTGTATCTTTTGTTAACGAGCCTCTAATCTTAATCTAATTTTAACCTATTTGAGAAAAGTAAAAGGCATTTTTCTGTCAGAGCTACTACTAATAATAATGAATTTTTGGCAGTTTTTTTTATGATTTCTACTTTGATTTGTTTGATCCTGATTTTAAAAAGCATACAATAAATGCATGTGTTAGCCCAGTGTTTCCCAAAGTTGGGGTCGGGACCCAAAGTGGGGTCCTGAAACATCAAGGTGGGGTCCTGAAAAGATTTTCTGAATTAATGACACTTTTGCCTTAGTTGTTACAAAGGAGTGAGGTTAGTGTATTTAAAATGGATAAATGTAGTATAAAAATATTGTAACTATGCCCATGTTTAGTTGACCTGACATAAATGTTTATCATCTAACAATAGTTGTGGGCACAGGTCTCTGCTACTGTTATTTTGTGGGTCAAAAGCTGAAAAGTTTGGGAACCACTGCACTTTGG